TTCGTATTTAAGTAAACTTCAGAGATTTCCAGTAAATCTGAAATATGAGATGTATTCACCCCATTTCGTTTAAGATGATGAAGGGCTGGTAGTAGAATTTTCCAACAATGATATGAGTAGAGCTGACGTTTCCATTCAATTTCATATAGCCTTGTTTTCCCAACCATATTCTGAATCCTTAATCCACTAATTTAAAAAACTCAGTGTTTAATCACTCAAGTTTATAATTGATCAAACCCTATGCTAACTAATTAGAAAAATGATAGTCAGGGTAGAATCTTTTTCAGTGATTATAAATCGTTGTCAATCTCTCAAAACCTTATCTTATTCATTTACCTTCAATGACGTTGATTAAAGCACATACAATTTGATACATTTAAACTCAGTCCAATATTGTAAAAGAGTTAACCACTTACAACATATGCATGCGAAGAAAATGCTGGTTTCAAAGAACCCCCAATTGTGTAAACGTTCATTTTGTATGATTGTGCATGATGAAACGATTTGTAGGCCAAACTCACCAGAAGACGCCAGTGGATCCGCGTTGTTCTGAAGCCATTTGGCAGTAATACGGTATTCAGGTTGATTTAGTCCCCCAGACGTGCCATATCACATGACGAATACCTCAAAATCCTCAATTTAACAGTAGGATGAGAAGACGAACATGGATTGCATCAACCTGAACGTCGTATTAAGGCCATACGGCAACAGTACAATGTGAATAAAACGGACAACAACAATCTCACAAAATGCTCCAATACTCATTCCGCTTAATTCTAATTTAATTGTAATGAAATTAGTAAAAATTATAATCAACCCGTTCATACGCAAATTTAACTTTAAATTCTATGTCCTGAACTTATTTAATCTCATTTTATAATTAGCCTCATCCCTATTTCCTTTCATTTATTCATACATTCCTTTCATAATTCAAACAAATCAACTCACTAATACTCAATCTTAATTCAATTTACTCATACAAAAAAATATTCGTTCTGTATTCAAACAAATGTGTACAAATGCACCTACATTCACAAACAAAATTATTCATATAAGCACCCATCTTCATTTTATAACAAGCATGGCGATGTGAATACACGTAAACTAAACTGCACAAACCATTATCTCGTTCATTTAAACTTATTCAAATCGAGTTGGTATCAATCATTGTCGATCTAACACAAACCCTGTAAAACATGCATAAATCCATTTCCATCCAGTCATATCCTCCACACTTCATCCTGGACACTTATTTTATTTCATTCAAGGCATTTGCATTCACTCCTGACCAGATTTTGAATCTCGCTGTGAGTGCGATGCTGAAACTGTATTTCAGCTGGGACGAAAATGTAATCAACTAATTTTCACTAAATTTCCCATTCGAAAGTCACACATAATCTCCAGGATTCTTTACCGCGATGATCAGTCGATTTGTCGGCCCCATTGTCGGCATCGTCAGTTAGCTCATGCCAGTCTCCGCGCCAAGCGACAATACGACAAGTGAAGTCAGTTCTTTCACGTTCTACCTAACGTCCTACTGAACCTACCCATTTCACGATCCCAAATTGGGAATTGTCATGACTATCGGGTAGGGGATGCGGTCATCGAGGTCGTTCTGACAGCACAAACACTGCACAAATGAGGAAGAAGCCTGTCCATTTGAAAAAAAATTACACCTGACTACAACTTATTTTAACTGGTTTGCTCTCTTTCGAATCAAATGCCCACAGAGATTCAAACACAAACACATTCGCTCGCACATGTTCAAAAGTGTTTAACCCCACAAAATACCTGTTCTCATCCACACTTGATAAGGCGCTGTTGTTCCAAACGGTTAAAGTCAATTCAATTTCTTCTTTCTTAATGGTACTGATCAATTAACATTTAAAAGTATTCCCTCTCAATCTCATCCATTTAAAGACATATACATGTTTACATAAAAATGTTTACTTTCAGTCTCCACAACTTGAACACATGAATGTTGAATCAAACACTTGTGCACTGGGAGAAAGGTTACAATTAATAGCATGGATTGAAATACTTTCATCATCGTGTCTACTCCCGCAGACAGACTGTGTACCCACTTGTACTCAATGACTCACATCAAACCGTGTTCATCATTAATGAATGCAAATCTTCAAAATCATTTCATTCGCTCTTAATTTAATCCTTATTCGCCACCAATAACAATTTCTCATGAACTGTAACCTCATCCATTTGGCCCATTTTCGTGTCTCATCTTAAAATGCTATTGTAGAGAGGAAGAGTAATTAAGAAGACATTGCCGTAGCGACTGTCAGTTCAAGTGAGACTTTCGTGGCTCGATTTGCCCATAAGACGACGCAAGCAACGTCACCAACGCAAGCTTTCACACTCTCACCTATTCACAGAGGCCCACTCGGAGTACCACATTCATTAACTCGCATCATCGGTCACGCATCGATTAGTTGTCCATTTTGGTGATACTACTTTAAGTGTAAAGTCGGCTCACCTGGTGCTTCAGGCTCGGGCGTACGATTTTCTCGTGCCCTAGCAACCGTGCACAGATACTCTGCGTCTATCCTGGTCGCGGTCGTTAGGCGACTCGACTGGGCGTCGAGGCTGAACAGGCTGGAGGGCGCGCCCAGACTGTAGACGGAGCGAAGGGTGGGCGTCTTCTGCAGGCGCAGGTATGCCGTGGCGTCGGGACTCGAGCCGATCAGCCCAGCGTCGGACGCGGTAATGCCGAGCCCGCCGAAGCCGATGGCCTCGACGGCCACGTTGCCGAGCAACGTGCCGATGGGCGCGTTTTCGGCCAGTTGGTAGTCGAGTTTGCGCTCTTCAATGCGCCAGCTGGCCGCCCCGCCCGGCGCATCGAAGGTCATGAGGACGAGCATCAGCAGACAAGGTAACCGCAGGCGTCTCGGCCAAACGCCAGGTCGACACGCCTGGTACGTCGTCGTGTGCATCATCAGCGCGAGAGTAGAGGAACTGCTGGAGAGGGAGGGTTGGCGCGGGCAAAAAAGGGATTCACTAAAACAACAGACCTACAGAACGGATTCGAAAGTTGTGTCGGCAGGACAACACTTTCCGGTACTAAAAGTGACACGAAGGCCTACCAGAAAGCGATGCTGCCAGACATTTTGGAGGAGATTGGGAAAGCTACTTCGGAAGAGTCGTCACGACGAGACGCGT